CCCGATGCGGGACTCGATCCCGGGACTCCAGGATCATGACCTGAGCCGAAGGCAGTCGCTTAACCAACTGAGCCACCCAGGCGCCCCTACTTTTTTAATATTCTACTCTAGAATGTATGCACACAAAAGCAGAGATTGCATCTGTTTTGTTTACATTTTCACTTAAGTTCCTAGCCACAATGCCTGGCACATAATATTTGTACAATAAATTTCAGTTGAATGAATAAATGGCATAGTACTTAACTAGTTCTACAAATAATTTTGAAAGAGTTGTTATAAGAAATATATCATAGGTTTGTTTTGTATGGCTCCAAAAAGCAATTAGAAGAAAAGGGTTGTAGCTCAGGGGTTAGAGAGTTTTCTGTCTTGGGTGGGTTCAAGGATAGACTCAACAATCACTTAGGTGCTTATAAGAGTATGTGTACCTTGAATGTGTGTTGGTGATGTTTTAATGAGGATTGTAAATGAAACCTCTTTACAAATACAGAAGAGGTAACAAAGTAAGGAGTAAATATAGGAATCATGATGGTAAAAATATCATTATTAGTGAGGCTTAGATGTGCAGCATCATAATAATTCACCCCAAAGTAGTTTTGAAGTCACCCAGTTACAATTTTTGAACAACTACAGGTCTTCCTATTGAGGACAGACTATTTATGATGTGAATGAAAGCAGACAAGAAAGCCCCTTCTATGGGTTGGTAGGCAAATTCGAGAGAGAGAGAGAGCGAGCAAGCGAGCGAGCCTGAAAGGGGTTATTTATGCCAAGCATGCACCTTACTCTTTCCTGATCTCAGTAATCAGATACGTCCTAGTGAAGGAGAGTTTAATAGAAGTGTATCTTCTCCATTTGAAAACACGAAGCCATGGGAATGGTGTTCTTCCATATATATTTTTTTTTTTTTAATTTTTCTTTCAACAAGTTTATTTTTGAGGACCACTTATGTCCTAGACACTCTGTGCTAACTTGCTGGAAAAAGCAATAATCAGAAAAGATACGGGCCCTGCCTTCATGAAGTTTGTACTGTTGTGGGAAAAACAAACATTATTTATACAAATAAAGGTAGCATTTTAGCTGTAATAAGTACTCCAGATAAGAGATGTGTAGCACTGTCACAGCATATAATAGGATATTTTTTAAGTCTTTTGTGTGTCAGTAGTAATTGAAGCTCTGAGAGAGAATGAAATTAAAGGGAGGATAAAATGGGATGTGATATGAGCATCAGTGATTAATCACAACCTTTAATGACCTGGTCAAAGAGAAGAACCTAACTGAGGTACTGACCTCCCTCCCTATACTTTGTTCTTTTCTCTCTTCCTTTTGGGCTTTATCTTTCAATTTATGGTCAACGAGGGATGTGGCCATTCTGGGGGGGAGGAGAGGGGGAGGTAGTGGTAGGGAGAGATAGCCTAAAGTGAGTCCTTCAAAAACTACTGCTAATACCAGCCACTTCTCTGCTGTGTATTCTTCTGTGATATTGGGGGCTAATTTACTCTTTGCCCCCTAGATGGTCTGAAATATGTAAGAATAATACATCAGATTTTTTATCTCCCAAGGCCCCTCTGTACCCTAAGGTGAAAATAAACACTTCCTGTTCTCTTTACCATCATAAATTATACCCAGTTATATTGCACTGTAGAGCTTACTAGAGATTATATGTTGAGCCTAAGTGGTAGAATATGGATACTCCAAATAAACTGTCACTGACATTAAAGAAATTCCATATTTGTATAAAGCCATCTCTATCAGATTCTTAGGGAGATAGTAAAGATCCTTGTTCCTTATTTCATTAGTTATGATCTAAATAAATGGAATTCTCAATTAATTTGAACTCCAAAGAAATGAAAATTCCCAAATATTCTTGGTTTTTCAGTCTACTAGATGTCAGCCATGGCAATCTCATTTCCTGTCCCCAGAGCAGTTACCTTAAGCAGAATGATGTTTCCAGAGTCAGTTCCTGTGGTCAGAGATTGTTGTAGAGACTAGAAGGAAGAAGAATAGTTCAGAAAACCGTGGTTTCTGCAGCCTCACTGGGGTGCCAGGCAGTCTATGCCAGCGTCACCCTTCTTGTCTTCTTTTCAATTCAGAACCAACAGAGAGAGTCAGACCACATTCTCTTTTTTCTCTGAGTAACTTAAATTGAATGATGTGGCTTGTGTTTGTGGCCATCTTCTCTTCCTAATACTGCCCTAACGAATTAAAGGCCTTACCATACAGATGAACAGAAATCATGAATGCCCTGGGGATGTGCAGCCTTATAAGAGTGAGAATGAGGCTGGGCCAGCTGTGCACACACAGTTCCGTCTTTCATTCTCACCAGCTGGATCAGGCAGTGCAAAATAGGCTAGCTTCTTGAGACTTGTTATTTCTCAAATGGTTTTCTTATCTTCTGGGAAAAACAAATTGTCCTTTTTGTTCATGTTTGTTAGTGTTCTTTGATTTATCACCATTTAAAACATGATACTTGGGTAAAGAATGAATCACAAATACATTTATGTCACCTTTCTGGAACCAGGTTGGTTGCTAGGATATGAATGAAGGTTGTGATATAAAGGTTCCATTAAAATTATTTTGTATATTGGGCCATTTTTACATTAATATATAAATAAGCAGTAAGATATTTCATATTATCATATAACACCATTTATAAGATTAGGTTACAAAACCTCATTTATTCCCTTTGAGTTATATGTATAAAATAAGAGTATATTATATATATAGTTTGATTGTGAATATTCTGTACTTTTTTATTTTATCAACCTTTTTTTTTATTTTTTTATTTTTTTTTATTCTTATGTTAATC